ACTTAAGGCCAAAGGTAAGGAGATGAACATCTTGCCTTGATTTCTAAAAAAAGTGCTAATACTTTACATGTTGAAGATGACCTAAATTTTATGGTCATAACATAGAATGGTATAATGCAAAAAGATCATCAAGACTTAGAGAAACAAGCATCCAACTTCTGAAATATTCAATCAAATATAGGTGCAAGAACTTAAGTTCTATAGTAGTGAATACTAAAGTGGAAGAGTCCAAGAAAACAACGAAAAATGTGAAGGGAGGAACATTCAGTGAAGAGAAATAGAACATGGATGGGGACAAAAATGAAATGGACAGTAGTAAGGATTAGATTATCGCTAAGGCTTAACCTATACGGTAATCTATTGTCAAATGTGATATTATTCAAAAATTTATTTTTGGGGGCACTCAACACATAACTTACCAAATGGTTGGCAAAGTCACTGGTTGTGGCTTATGCTTACTTTACTTTTCTTATGTAATGTGTTTTAGGAGTTGGGGTAACAAGACAGGATCAATGATCATTTTTTGGCATCCATTGGGATATTGTGTCAATCCAAGCGCCACCTGCGGTGCATACCTTTTGCCTAAACTAGATTAATGTGTTATAATAGATGTTGAGCCGCTTTGAACTAACCTTTCTTCACTCATAACTATAGAATAACTATGCTATAAACATAAGTAATTAAACTGTACTTGTTTAAATTAATAAATTTAGCATGCAATGGAACTTGAAGATTTATTATTTTCTCCAACACAATTTAATATGATGATTATCATTGTACATAATTCAAAAGTATCCCTCGTACATAAAATAATTTTATAAGCACAAATACTTATTTTTACCTCATGGTGCTCGAGCAAAGAGATGAGCATCTTATCACATATAAGAATGAATATAGTAAAACTCATATTGATTATTTTTTATAAAAAAAAGATTATTTAGATTACAAAGATTATAAAATTATTCTGAGTGAAAGTTTATGTACCCAACATCGCTTATTAGTTTAGGACTTTAAGATGAAGGGAAGGAATATAAAAAATAAAATAAGACGTGGTTCTAGGATTATATATGAGCATTTAAATAATATTAACAAAAATATTTGAGAGTAAGTTTCAAGATCTTAAAATTTTGTCTGTGCATGAGGAAACTAATGTTATGTAAAAAAAATAGATAGTGATATTAAAAATATTGCAAAAGATGTGCTCGGAGTATTAAAAAAAACTCCTAATAGTAAAAATAGTTTGTGGTGGAATCAAAATGTAGAAGAAAATATCAAAACTAAGAAGCTTTGTTATTAAAATTAGTTTAGATGTAAAAGTCTAATAATTAGAAAAACTATAAAGAGGCTCGTATCGAGTCTAAGAAAATAATATGTGATGCAATGATTTCAATTTTTAATGATTTATATAATAGATTATATACTAAGGAGGACGAATGATATATTTATAAGTTGGTCAAATAAAGAGATAGGAGTAATAAAGATTTAGTTCAAGTGAAGTGCATTAAAGATGAAGATCAAAAAATATTTTTATTAGAAGAAAATATTCAACAAAAGTGGATGAGATATTTTGCAAAATTTTTCAAGTAAGATTGTGAGAATATGATTAATTTTAGTGACCTTAGCACCCTAAATGAAAATAAATATTTTTGCTTTTGTCGACGTATTAGTAAAATCGAAGTTAGAGAGGCTTTAAAGAAAATGAAACAAGAAAAAGCTATTAAACCTAATGATATTCCAATAGAGGTGTGGAAATGCTTAGGAGATAAAAGAAATTTCTTGGCTTACTAAACTTTTTAATATTATTCTGAAAATTAAAAATATGTCAGATGAGTGGACAATGAGTATGTTGATTCATATTTTTAAGAATAAAGGTGATGCACAAGATTGTGCAAATTATAGAGGAATTAAATTAATGTGTCATACTTTAAAACTATGGGAGAGACTAATGGAGCATAGGTTACGACATGATACTAATATTTCTCATAATATATTTGGATTCATGCTGGGTAGGTCTACTATGGAAGCCATACATTTATTGAGAGGTTTGATAGAGAAGTATAGAGAGAATAAGGAGGATCTACATATGATATTTATTGATTTAGAGAAAGCATCTAATAAAGTTGCCAAGAGAAGTGCTATGGAGAGTTCTAGAAAAGAAAGGGTTAATAATATTTATAGTCAAGTCATTAAGGATATGCATACAGGAGTTGTTACTTGTGTTCAAACACATGGTGGTTTAACCACGTATTTTTCTACTTAAGTTGGATTACATCAAGGATCAACCTTGCGCCCATATCTTTTTGTTTTATTCATGGATGTTCTTACTAGACATTTGCAAAAAGTTGTACCCCAGTGTATGCTTTTTGCTGATGATATTCTTCTTGTTGATAAGACTAGAGAGGGAGTAGAAGGTAAACTTGAATTATAGAGGTCAACCTTAGATTCTAAAGGTTTTCATATGAGTAAATCTAAAATCGAATATATGGAGTGTAATTTTAATAATAATAGATCTAATGGGGGGATTATGACTTTGGGTGATCAAGTTATTAGTAAGAGTACATGTTTTACATATCTTGGGTCTAATGTTCAGAGTGATGGTGAAATAAATGGGATATTGATAGGAAACACTTGTAGTTTTCAAGTATTTCCTATCAATCTTTGGAAAACAGCAAAAATCTTCATAAAAGTCCGCACAAAAATCACAAAAAACAGTAGATAACTTAAATGATTTGATGAAAGGAACACGGAAAATAGCAAGATACACTTGATCCTCAATTCGAAAGGAGGATCGATCTCTCCCAAATCTCTAGACGCCGCTAGAGCCCAAAGAAAACCTAAATCTAAGAAATCTCAAATTTCAGTCAAATTCAAGATGCCCAAACCCTAGGAAAACAAACTATTTAATAAATACAAATCAAAAGGAATTCCCTAAATAGTCCCTACATTCAAATTTCCCTCTCAAAACCCTCAAAAAAGCTTCCTAAATAGCTCCCGCACGGTGTGCGGCTCACTCGGCATCCCAGCGGGCGGAGATTTCTCCGCCCAGTTTGCGCTGGGCCGGTCCCGCACGGACCAGCTGGACTGGTCCACTGGACCGGTCTAACATATATTATTAGTAGAACTCAAGTTGGATGGTTGAAGTGAAGGAATGCATCGGGCTTATTTTGTGACAGAAAAGTCCCCCTCAAGCTTAAGGGAAAATTATATAAGATGGTGGTGAGGCCTACAATGCTTTGTGGTGCATAATGTTGGCCATTAAAAGAGAAGCATAATATTAAGTGTTATAAAGATGAGGATGCTCAGGTGTATGAGAAGCTTTACTCTTAGAGATAGAATATGAAATGAGCATATATGTGAAAATGTTGGAATAGCTTCAGTGGAAGAAGATTAGAGAGTAGTCTTAGATGATTTGGTCACATAAAACGACGACCTTCCGATGACCCGGATGCATTAGATTTGGCTTATATTAAGAAAGGTAAAGTTAGAACGAAAAAGACTTTGTTAGAAAATATTAGAAATGACCTTTATTTATTAGATGTAAATAGAATTTAACTCTTAACATGACACAATTGAGAAAAATGATTCATGTAGCCAACCTCACATAGCAGGATAAAGGCTTGATCTTATTGTTGTTGCATGGTGCTCAAGCAAGTTCCCCATCCATTGCACAACCACATCACCTTAAGTGTGACACTTTTTGAAAATACTCATATCAATTTTATTTATAGATAAGATAAACCTTTGTAAAATTATATGTTACAACTATGTTTGTCCAATCCATCCCTGGATGATGGAAACACCAAACAAGTGCAAAATTTATAAGCAAACATAGCATGAATCCTAATAAAAATTTTGAATAGGAGGGCAACACTTCTACATAACCAAGATATTTGAGTAAATACCTTAACCTCTACACAACAATATAACAAATTCCTCAAGGAAAACTCTAGATCACCATCCATCAAGGCATAAAAATTACAAATGCCCTAATCTCTGCGCATTAAAATATCTAACATGAATTTGTTAGACTAAAAGATTGCTAACACAACAAGATTGAGTAACCAAATATTCAAGCATACCAAACTTGGATGATCACTATAAAATCCAAATACGCAAATGTTGGAAACGATCCATGGTTTGCATGAAGGCATCTTATGCCAAGTAGTCAAAGAAACAGCTTTTTAGCACGTCTTCAACTAACGTATCCTATAAAAAATGGATTCAACCACAACACGCCCAACCTAAGAATATGGTTTATGTTCTGAATAAAAATTCAATCACCACAAGACAAGAATCTCAAGTGCAACATTTGACACAAACTTTATTCGAACGAACTTTTAATCCCCTATCATATATATTTGACAAATAAAAATACCATGACAAGCAAGAAGAATCATTATGGTCCCATGGCATGAATGATGAGAATAATCCATAGTTTGTGCGAAGCCATTCATGTCTACAAATTAAATGAAAATCTTCCACAAAAATTCAAGTCTTAGCCCTTTATTAAAAGGATGGAATCATCCAAATACCTATATCCTAATCAGATACCTTGAGATCCAAATAGATTTAACTTTTTTTCTCAGGCAAAACCCTAATGAATACCTTTTCATAGTCACATATGGTAGTACTCAAGCAAACAATTTACTTCCTAAATCTATTTGAGAAAGGAAAAACTGTCAAACCAACAATGAAATATCACTATGCACCCAGCTAGCAGAGTTTTCCCAATATGTAATCCCGAAGTATAATACACATCTAATTTTAGGGTTTCAAAGACTGCCTACTCCAATGCAACCATTTCGATACAGATTAAATAATTCATAATTTAGATCATCTTAAAATATGTAAGCAATCGCTATGCAAACACTGAAATTAAAATCACTGAAACTATATAAACTGCTATAGCATACACATGAAATTTAAGCGCGCAAAGGATAAAAAGCAATGGGGATGACATTGAGAACGGTTAAAACGAAAGGAGACGAGGAAATAATTACATCGAACTATATCAGACACTCCTCTTTCTCTCTCTTAAATATCTCTTCAAATCTTAGGGCTCGCGCGCCTCCTCCTGCGCGATAGAAAGAAAGAGGGGGAGTTGGGCAACCTTGAGATGGGGGAGACAGTAACTGCTGGTTCTCTATTTATTCGTACTTGTGAAATTGCCCATTGTATTTTGAAAGTAGTTTTGAATACTTTCTCTATGAAAAAATAAAAATAAAAATGTCTAATTATTATATATATAAAGTTATTTTAGCCTTTTTGGAATCTCTTAATGAACAATGAATTAGTTATAAAAAATGTTAATTATAGTACAATTAATCACTTGCCTTTATATCTAAAAAGGGAATTTGATTGAATATATTATGTTAATTGTTTATTTTCTTAGAAAAATATGTCCAAAAGTTGATTTATGATAAAAATATCCTCAATTTATAAAAATAGATGTTGAAAATTGAAATCCTTACACAAGCAATTATAGAAACTTTTAAACAAGAAGTTGCTTGATCATCTTCCGAGTGCCTTCCTAAACCCAAAATGGCATTAGTCAGCACATGACTTTATTTGAATCATGTTCTAAGTATGTTTGAACCTTGACCAAAGCTGTTTCAAACTTTATTCGTACATTTTAACAAGGTTTGAACAATATTAAGAAAAGGTTTGATCAAGATTTGAATATGCTTCGAAGGTGATTCAAACAATATTTAGAAAGGTCCAAACAAGATTCGAAGATGGTTCAAACAAGTTTCAAGCAATATTCAAAAAAAGGTTCAAATATTATTAACATGGTTGGATTAGGGTCCACTAAAGTCTTGAAATGGTTTGAGCAGGATTTTACTGTGTTGGTTGGTATAATATTCAATCATGATTAAAATATATCTCAAACATTATTCAATTAATATTTGGATGTAATTCACTTTATATAATTCTGCTCCTCACTATCTCTTTTAAAATTGACCCATTTAAATTATTTTGATATGTATGTGTGTTTTATTCTGACATATAGAGGGGTATTATACTTAGGATTGCATAAAAAGTTAGGGTGTGATGGAAAAGTATAGTTCATAATTTGAAGCTAATGACCTCATTTTTAATACTAAGGCACCCCTCTAGTTTATTCTTTTAAGTGTCTTGAATTATAGTTCTTTGGGGTTTTGATTTGTCTATTGTTACTAAGGATGGTTGGTGATGATACGAGTGAGAGTTTCTTTGTTGTGTTCAACATTGGAGATGATGATACTGCATTTGGCATAAACAAATTTTCATAATCACTGGGCTATGATTTTGAGAATACTAATTAGCATTAGGTGGAATTCAATGGGAAGAGCTGGAGGAGTAAGGTCTTAGATAACTACTTGGGTGGAGATAAAAGCATCATGACTTTAGTCTTAAAGAGGATATTTTTAGTGTACATTGAGAAGAATGATGTATGAAAGTTTAGGTTATATTTCTATATAGATATTAATCTCCTCAACTATGATGAATATAGTGCAACTTTTACTAAGATCTTATAGTTGATAAGCATGAAGAGGCTTCTTTAAGGTTCCCATAGGATAGGGTAGCATAAAATAAGACATTGAGAGGGCTAAAGAGAGACAAGGTGCATTTGAGGGTGTTAATTTGGGTTGGCATATCGGGTTCAAATATAACCTATATGCTTAACCAAAATTAACTCATTTACTATTTGTGCCAAAATGTTTGACATGAACCCGACTTGATCTAAACTCGACTAACCCAAATCGGACCCATTTAACCCCTTTATAACATGGATCATACAATATATATTTTTTCTTCATGAGCATAGGTCACTTAACTCGAACACAACCCTTTTAACTAAAAAATGACCTATTTAACTCAAACTCAAATCATATTTGTAATAATTCATATTTTAGCCAAGTGAAATAAATTTTTTGAGGAGTCATTAGAAGTCCAAATCATAAATCATCTTTGTTTGAAGGCTTTAGAGTGATTTTCTCCACTTGGTTCTGTTGGAAAATTTGCTCGCCTCATTGTAAGGAATTATAATCTTATTTTTTATTTTAATACTATGATATTTTTTAGATTTTTTTTATCAAATTTGTATTTTCCTAACAAAAAAATGATGATTATTTTTTTATTGCAGCGTAACTTTTTATATATTATAGAGATTAAGATTATAAATATTTTGAGTATTTATTTGAGATTTTTCATCGGATAATATTGAAAAATAATAATTTTTATCAATTCAAAATTTTATTTTGGCATTTAAAAATAGTGTTATAGTTCAATTAAAACTTCAAAATATTATTATACATGATATCTAGTAATTTGGTTACTTTTTGAAAATGTGAATTTTTGCTCAGTGAGGTTTCGGTTGCCCACCATCAGGACATTTTAATACTTTATGAATCAAGTCCAATTATGCTTTATTTACTGAAATTCATTGGAGATGAATATGTGTATCTGATTGAGTAATAGTTGGTCGCTATATTGTTATAATACTAAGATAATAATATGTGTGGGAAAGAAATAAGTAAAAACTGGTTATTCTTTGACAGTGGTTGGAGACTGATTGACATGTACAAGATAGCAACATATTTTTCTTTAAATACCATGATTTGATGTTATCATCTACTAATTCATGTGATACTGATTGGAAGTTATAAAGAGATGATTAATGTACTAATAGATAAAGAGTGACAACTCTGTTTACTGAGCCAACAATTTACTGATATTGATATAATATCAGAAAAATACTTATTAAGCTAGGATTTCTTACTTATGTAGTGTGACTACTGAAATACATGTTATTGAGATATTGTTCCTATTATTATACATATTTATTATTACTACATGGATTTATTATCATTGTAATATTTTACTACTCCTGCTACTAGACTATTATTGTTATCAATATAGACATATATTATTTGATACTATTGATTAATTGTATTGATACTAAGCATGTGACATATTGAGCACGTAATATACTAATTTGATACTGATGTAGAATACGTAGATAGTATGTGTACACTTCTATTCGATTTTACTAAAATACAATTATGAGCTTTAAGACAATATATGTAAATAATTGTTTTAGGACCTTTCGTGTATAGGGAAAACCCCCACTTTTATTGTTGCCAATAAAAATAGTTCAGAACATCACCATATTTATAGAGTTTATATAAAACATTAAAATAATATACTTTATTAAATGTATTGCCAATCAGAAGAGTCACAATTTTTTAAAATCTTTAAAAATCAATACAAAAGAAACCAGCTGGTGAAAATTTGTATTCTTATAGTCTTATCATTCAGAAAGGAGAATAAAGCAACTTATAAAAAGTTACATTTAAAACTCAAGAAAATTATTTTTAAAAGCATAACTTTCAATTTACTTATCTGAATTGAAATAGAAATGGGGTACGGGTTATCTACCTAGAGCCCGACAATTTCTCTAACTGGCCGGATGGAAAAAAATTAGATTGCAAATCTCAAATCCTAGCTTTTCCTTCTCTTCCTTCTCCTCTTCCTCCCTTCCTTCTTTGGCAAGCTGGTCGAATAGGGATTAGGGTTTAGTGACTATGTATATTTATTATTTTAAAAATCATTAATCTATTCCAACGCTGTAGCGCCCACTACTCCAACGTTGCAGCGATCGCAACAAAAATTTTCAAACTCTTCCAAATTCTCCCAACTATCCTAGGGGGCATTTGCATTTTCTTACTAATGCTACCTACCCAAAACACCATTTTCCTGAGCTCAGAGCATCATAACACTTGTAGATGTTAATTTAATTTATTATTTCAATAAAATTGAGTTTTCAATAGTTTGTTTTTCTTACATGATTTTCTAAATGTATTTGTATTCAGGTTTTTCTAGCAAATGTAGTAGTTATATAAAATTTTGAAATGTTCTTGTGAAGGTCCCTTTGAAGTTAGAAATTGAAAAAAAAAGGAAAGTTCAGTGAGCATTCTGTTTTATAAACAATTTGGCTTTCATCGACATTTCATGCGCTTTTTAAATATTGTATCAAGTACTATTGCATTGCATTTGCATCCTGCATTAAATGACATTGGAGAAGCCGAGAAGGGGTGTAAATGAGTTGATTCGAGAAGAAGTATTATCGAGCTAAGCCCGGCTAGCTCATTTAATGAGCTCAAACTCGACTCGCTATATAAAAATCAAGCTCGAGATCGACTTAATTATTCTAGCTCAACTCAATTACTAGAGCTCGTTTAAAAAGCTCAAGTTCAACTCGATTTAAAAGCTTAAACTCGACTCGTTTATGGATCTCAATTTAAAAATAAAAATAAAAATTTTAAGGACTTTTTTGTTACTAGTAATTTAGAACAAATTATATAGTTTTAACTAAAATATTGATTTCACTTTAGACAGTGTAAATAAATCTCAAGATGAAATTTAAAATGGAAGTTAAAAATATAAGTAGAATACAATACTCTTTCTTATTCATTTTTTTTAGATCATGTTGCAACTATTATAACAGGTAACTACCAGCATAACATGAATGTCCAAATCTCTATCAAAACCAACAAAAATTTCACCTTTCAAATATATCAGTACTTTTGCACTGTTCATAAAATGTAATTAAAAATATTACAACTTTGATGAAAGTTATATAAGAAAACCAGATCCAAACTTCAACAAATGACAAAACTCTTCACATATGCTCATCTGTGCAATATTTTATATATCGCAATCTTCAAAATCTTTCATCATTGGAGTCATTGAACTTTGATGCAAACCTGAAAAATTAAGTCAAAGAAAGCGGTTTATTGAAGATGGTTGGTTTAAAATGTTAAAAACAATTTAGAGATGGTGCAATAATAGATATAAAAAGTTAAAAACATTGGTTAAATAATAAGTAATTACAGTAAGTAGGCTTTGATAAATTTCAGCATAGCGTTGGTGAAAATTCATAGGAAGGCAACTTTAAAAATTATGCAATTTTAAATTAGTAAGGTTTCGTTAGGAACAATTTTTTTACTGTTTTTTCAAGTATTTTTTAGTACAACAATTTTAATCTTTTACTACAAAGCTGCTTTAAGAAGCAATAAGAAAGTGTTAGCTATAGGTTAATTGTAATATATTAAAAACGATATTAGGCTCTCTTAGGTAAACCGGGCGTACAACCC